TATTTTAGTGGTGAAATCTGAAATCGATTCATGTCAAAGATCATTTCTTCATTGTGACTCATGATGATATTCAGAGAATTGTTGTGAGAGCATTAAGATTAAAAGGTAAGTATGAAGAAAATTTCCATATAAGATAAACTAAAAAATACTTCTAGAATATTCTGTTAACTCTCAGAAGACCAGTTTCCAAATAATCGAAACTGATTGAAGATCGATAAAAAAACTCGACTCGAATCTATAAGTTCTGTAATATAGAGAATGACAATGTAAATATTTTATATTTTAGCTTGGTGAATATATGGATGCGAAGATCAGAAACTTCTATTTACTTACATCCACACAATGACCGTACAGAATGGTTGTTTTTCAGATTAGTCAATTTTTCTTGATAAATTTTCAAAAAGTAATTATTGATAATGTAAATCTTTTTTTGGAGACTATATACTAGCAGAATTGAAAATGAAAAATTTCTCAGTATTTACAATATATACTTCGACTGTCATTCATTCATTGTTTTCTTGAATTTAAAATTCTGTGTTTTTAAAAACACTTGATTATATTGTAACAACTTTTTTTCTTGTGTCACCTTATTATAACTGTACACATCTCTCATTCATGGAAAAAATGCGAGTTGTTATTATAGATACTATTGCATTCGAACGATGATGATGCATTCGTTTCGTTCGTTATCGTTGTTCTTTGACGTAGACTCGCATTTGTTTGCACAAACACTTAAAAATGAATGATAAAAATAATCTTTCGTTTAGTAGCAAATAAAACACATTCGCATACATAACAACTTACCAAGCAACAAAAAAAAACGTCTATCAACAAAGAAAAAAAAGAAACAATTTCTATTTAACTAAGAAGGCGAACAATTTTTTTCTTGTAATTTTTCTGTCTTTTTTACAGTATTATTGAAATTTTTAGACGAACTAACTAACAAATGAAAGTTTGCATTCATTTTCATTTATTATATGATCATCGATCGATAAGCAGTATATGATTAATAATTATGTGTTTGTAAGACGAACGAAATAGGAAAGAAAGACGAGAAAGAAAGAAAGAAATACAGCAGAAAATGGTAGTCTTTTTTCTTTTTACTTTCGATGAGATTTTTATTAACTGAATGCAATGCACATGAAAAACATTTAATGCAGTCAGAGACAACTAAAAGAAAAAAAACAGCAACAATATTTCTAAATTTCATTTATGATTAAAATTTTCGTTTCTTTTTCTTTCCAACGAACAACGATCGATAATGCAATCACTTTGAAATTTAAAAAAAGAACGAACGATCGAGATAAGAAGTCGTTAATGTATATTTATAGCAACCAGCCAAGAAACAATCAAAATATATTTAGAGGGTGTGAGTATAGGATGTGGATGAAGAGAAGACTCACACCCGCATCTATAGATGCAAATCAAAATTATATTCATTTGTATTTGTTCAGTATATTAATTTTATTTTGTTTAAATAATTATCAATCATTCATCAATAGGAAAATTGACTGTTGCATGCCTTTTGACTTCGTACGTAGTATGATTATGAGAAGATAACAACTAGACTAAGATAAGCTTAAACAAATACGTATTGATGATCTAACAGTAATGGAAAGTTATAGGACATTTTAACATTGACATGACCATGATCATCTTTTGAACTAGTCATAGTTGTATGAGTGCTATTCAGTATTCGCATTAATTTTCATTTGTTCTATCTTAGCCAAAGAAAAAAAGAAACAACTATTTATAATTGAGTAACATTATTGATCAACTGCATTGAGTGTCTTAAATTCAGCAATCTAAAACACATCACTTGAATCAATGTTACAAATGTAATATATTTAAATGAATTTTGCTGAGATTTAATCATGCCCTTTGTAGATAATTAATTCACATTAAAACGATTAAGATTATTTGACTGATATTTTATTAACATATTCTACTAAGTATTCGTGTGAGAGTTCAACGAGAATGAACATATATCTTTTTCAACATAGTCAATTTTCAAATAGATATGGTAAACTACTAGTTTTCTCAAACAAATATTGAAGTCAAAACTTTCTATGAAGATTTTTCGTGCTTCGATCGATGCTTAGACATATCCATAATATGAGATGGAATGGTGTCTAATATTTGAATGTATTTCATCATCAATTATGAAATCGACTATCGTTTTTTCTTTACATCGTTGATTGAATAAAAAGTAAACATGTCAATTGAGTTTGAATTCGAAGATATTCGGTTGACTAACGAAGGAAGAACTACCATTGAGATTTGGTCGAACTATTGAATTTCCAATATCTTTATTTTGTCAGAGGCTTCTGTGGAATTTCAAACTGACAGAAACTTTTTTGCATTAAGCCTCTGACAAAATAAAGACATTATGAATTCAATAGTACTGTTAAATTTCAATAGTAATTCAAATGCGTTTAGGACTTTCATCAGTAGATATTATGCAGTATTTACAGGGAAAGAATAGGCATCTAAGAAGGTTTTTTTAGCCTAGATTTTGATCTAGTCCGATTCAATATATTTTTAATGTCTAATTGAATATTGAACAAGATTGTTTTTTTATTGATTCATCTGATGATGAAGATGATCAAGGAATATTCTGAAAATTGGAAACCTTACGTTGATTCTTATGTACGTGATAATGAAAGTGATCATAATGTGATCGATCACTAACAAAAATAGTTCTTGTTGATAGGAAAAAAACTTCTTGAATATAAATCATGTCATCGTGTTGATTTTTATTTTTATAAATGAAAATCATTGCATTCAGCACAAAACAAGTATGTTTACTTTTTAATTTATGTAGATAATAATGTTTCTATATTGTTTTAAACTATTAGATAATATATACTGATTCCTTCAATAACCTTTGATTTACGATATATCAGTCGAATAATAATAATGACAATGAACAAAATAATTTTGATATTCAATCAATATTTTCATATAATGATCGCACAGAACTACAATATCGTCTTTATCTACAATATCGAATTATTAATAGATAAAACCTGATATATGTTTATATTTTCTCATTTTAGTCATGTGTCTGTGTATATTTTTTGAATTCTACTTCCAATCATTGTATGTCTGATTGGCACATGTTTTGATTGTTTTCTTGTCGCACTATTATAACATTTAGTTGTATGTGATAAATTCTATTAAACTATATACACATGGCAAGAACAAGCATCTTTGATTCTATAAATATTTTATTATATATAATATAATATTAAAAGCAATGAGAAACAAATCATGTTTTTATTCATATCTCCTCACATAAATAAAACACATTCATTATTAGTGAAAATCTGCTAGCATAATATCTGTAGATATGGGCGCGATGAAAAAAACGACAGACACACCCAAACTTACATGCACACACTAAGTTAAAATGTGTCGCATGTGTCGTGTTTTGCGACACATTGTACGACACATTAAAGTGCGACACGAGGAGCTCACTGCGACACATTTTCTCCAGCAAGACCACGACACATTTCGTACGACACATGCTACACATTTTCTATTGGTCCTTTTGGAAAATCATATTTCCATATTTTTTTTCAATTTAATTCCATTTAGTTATTCATATTCTGAAAACTCAAGCTGGTCAGATCCTGGGTTCTGTCCAATCTCGAGTTGATCTGATTTGTATCAGACTGCTTCAGAGTAGTCCTCTCACGATCATGGTTCGAGATTGGCATTTTCTCGATAAAAAAATTAATCGAGAAATAATCTAGAAAATAAAAATAATTTGAAATTTTTTTGTCTATATGTTCAACCACGTTGTTTATATATCACTATGTGTGCATAATAAAACGGTGAACGAATAGTCATCAGACAGAACGCGACAAATTCGTATACGACACATTCTAAGCACGACACATTTTTCTGCTGGAGCGTGTGACACAATAATTCACGGCATATAAACACGACACATTTTAATTTAGTGTGCACACGTGGTATTATTTCGTTGCTCATTCTTACTACCTACTTATAATGACGATGTTGGAAAAAACCTTGACAACAATGCAAACAACATTAATTCGTTTTATTATATGAATTTATTTTCATTTGTTTTTTCTTCTTCCTCTTCTTCTTGGACTTGTTGAGATGACGATGCAAACTTCAAAAGAAAACAAAACATAATCACTTGGGCATAGCAACCAATTCAAGAGGAAAAAAGAGACCAATCTGTATCAAAAAACTACAGAGACTTCTGTTGTATCTTCAAAAAACAATGTTTTAAACCCTTTTACACTAGTTAAAAAAGGAATTTGCTTTCTTTCTTGCTTTTACACTGTCTTATGATTGACATAGATATTTTTCTCAAATCAACAAGGTCACAGCAGAAACGAATAGGTTCATTTTTTCTTTGTCGTTTTGGTTTGTTTCTGGATAAGACACTTATCTTATTAATTCAAGATAGTTTGCACATAGAAACATAGACAAAGATAGAAGAATTTTCTAATGAGACCAGATAGAAGCAAACGAAAAATAAAAAATAACGAAAACAAACAATATATGAAGCAATTCGTTTTGAAATTCTATTTATAATTTTTCGTTTTTTTCTCTTCTACGAACGCCGATCGATCGATTGTGTAATTATTCATTTTTTTTGTTGGACGGATTTTTCGTTTTCATGCCAAATACATAAAGATTTCGTTCCTCACATGTTTCGTCACTGTCGTTTCGTCAAAAACAAAACTCTTGAAATAAAAAAACAAAAACGAACGAACAAAAGATCGAAATAAGAGATCCTTCAAGTCTTTTATAGCAACAACAATAACAAACCAAAAAATAAAAAATGTCAACACAAAAGAAGAAAAAAACTAAAATAAAAAATATCTAGAGAGAGAGAGAGATGAATTCTGTTTTTGTCCATTCTTTCTTTTGATCGCCACCGAACAAGTATTTACATTTTTATTTATTTATTCATTAACCAAAAACAGAAGACTATTATTATTATCAACATCATCCAAATGGACAAAGAGCAACATTCGAAGTCGACTGCTAGTGGATCTTCTTCATCGTCCACAACAAATAAACCAAAGAAAACATCATCATCATCATCATCATCATCATCAACAGCAGCATCAGTGTCAACGATGGGCAGAAGTGCTGCGCTTCCTCAACCTGCTCGTCGAATTATTCAGAATTTTCTTCTCGTCTGGCTCGATGCCAATATTGACGAGTCAAAGGAAGATTTTCAAAATTCGTTAAAACATTTACGACGAATTGTAGCATCCATTACAACATTCACCGATGCTCACCAATGTTTCGATTATCTTAGTGGTATTACAAAGGAAAAGGCATTTATGATCATATCGGGTTCACTTGGACAGAAAATAGCACCAGAAATGGAAGCCATACCACAATTAGAATCCGTGTATGTTTTCTGTAGTAATCCATCTTACTATGAACAATGGGCCAATAAGGTACCGAAGATCAAAGGTGTATACACAAAAATTGAACCAATTTGTAAAGCCCTAGAAATTGATCGACAACGATGTGATCAAGCTATGATCTCGGTTAGTTTTAATGGCCTCGATCCTCTGTTCATGTATACACAATTGTTAAAGGAAGCACTATTAGAAATCGAAGATGACGATAGAAAATCTCTCAAAGATCTGGCTAGATATTGTCGTGAACAGGATGATATTCTTGAAGATCAAATTAAACAAGTTGAAAATGAATATCGTAATCATACGCCAATATGGTGGTATACAGCCGAGACTTTTATATATCCTATGCTTAATCGTGGTCTTCGAGTCATGAATGTCGATATCATAATGAAATTGGGGTTTTTCATCCGACATTTACACAATCATATTACGGAATTACATCGTGAACAAGAAAACAACATGCCAAAACATTTTCAAGTCTTTCGGGGACAAGGTTTGTCCTTGGAAGATTTTGAAAAAATGAAAAAAACTACAGGAGGACTTATGTCCTTCAATAATTTTCTATCAACAAGTCGCAATCGCAATATTTCACTGGAAACCTTTGCACGACCAGCAACAAAGAAACCCAATTCGGTTGGCATTCTGTTCATTATGAACATTGACACGACTATTTGCAAAAATTCATTAACACCATTTGCTGAAGTAAGCCAAGTTGGCTACTACAAAAATCAAGAAGAAGAAATACTTTTTGCGACACATACAATTTTCCGAATCGATCACATTAAACGAATTGAAGACAAAAATATTGATCGCTTATGGCAAGTTAATCTTACTCTTGTGGGTAATCAAGATGATGACTTTAACAAACTCACAGCACATCTACGAGAAGAGTTCAAGAAGCACACAGGATGGGAACGACTGGGTTTCATACTTTTCAAACTGGGTGAATACCCAAAATCAGAACAACTCTACCAGATTCTCCTCGCAAAGGCAACTTCCGATCGAGATAAGGCGGCATACAATCATCAACTTGGCTGGATATATGATGATATGGGTGACTATTCACAAGCACTTTCATATTACGAAAAATCACTGAACACCTACAAGAAAATTCTCCCTCCAAATGATATCGGTTTAGCTTGGCCCTACAACAACATCGGTAATGTGTATGATAACATGGGCGAGTACTCGAAAGCACTTTCATCGCACGAGCGAGCACTTGAAATCCGAAAAATAGCTCTCCCTCCGAATCATCTCGACTTGGCTACTTCCTACAATAACATCGGTTTGGTGTATTATAACATGGGCGAGTACTCGAAAGCACTTGCATCGTACGAACGATCACTTGAAATCCGAAAAATAGCTCTACCTCCGAATCATCCCGACTTGGCTGCTTCCTACAACAACATCGGTTTGGTGTATTATAACATGGGCGAGTACTCGAAAGCACTTTCATCGCACGAACGATCACTTGAAATCCGAAAAATAGGTCTCCCTCCGAATCATCCCGACTTGGCTTCTTCCTACAACAACATCGGTTTGGTGTATGATAACATGGGCGAGTACTCGAAAGCACTTTCATATTACGAAAAAGCACTACAAATCAAGAAAATTGCTCTTCCCCCTGCACATCCAAGTACTGCACGCACAGAAAGAAACATTGAACTTCTGAAAAAGAAAATGTAATTGTTTTTCTTTTAAACGAGAAAATAAATTGCCTTTCTTGAACACGTTTGTCTCGCCGAAGCGCACCAACTACAACAATTTCGCGCACGCGTGACCAGGGATACCCTCCGTATCCTGTTGGGTTGTACAGTGGGCAAAACCGGCAATGATCAGGCAAACATACATTTATGTATGTATGACTAGTACATCCATGATCATCATCTTCGGAAAGACAATGACGAGATGAACGCTTCTAGTCATACATACATAGATGCATGTTATAAAGGCCTACCATCTACACGCCTGTACAGGTTACCAACAGAACGTCGGATATCCCTGGGAAGGTTCATTTTGTTTTAGAGCCACCCTCGAAAGCTCCGTTTGTTTTTAATTTTTTTTTCTTCTGTTACGAAGAACGAGAAGAAATAGAGAAACGCAAAGAAAGACGACGTTGACGGAATTTTAATACGCAGCGTATAATGACAACCGGTTGTTTTGACGCATGCTGTGATATTGAGGGCACGATATCTATGTCGTCTTTACACATGTTATGTTTAATTTATTTTTCTTTTCATCTGGAATGTGTAAGAACAAATGAGATGTCGTGCACTCAATATCATATTATACAAGTGATGACTGAACGAAAGAAAAAGACAAAAAAAAAATTATCGACTATTCTCTTTGATTAGTAACATACACATATATAAGAGATAATTGAGAGAAGAAGATGAAAAAGGAATTTTTATAAATTTAATGATTTTTGTTACTTATTACATAACGTTTTTATACATTTTATTTTTATATTAGTACAAAGAATGACATCGGTGATGATGCAACTCATTGCATATCTAATTATGATATTCAAAGAACTTTTGTAAGTACAGATCTTTACCATGCGGCTTGTATTCTAAACTATTTCAATACTTTTAAGATCGTGTGCCATGTTTTCTCACCTCCTTTTATATTTGATCGTCTCAAATAGATTACGAACAATCTTTCATTCATTAATATTCAGATCTGTAATTCATTTGGAATTGCACGATAAACTTCCATTTAAACATGAATTTTTCATTCTAATTACTCAAGCTTTTTCATCACTTAAATTATTATCTATTATGAATATTCGACCACAACTTTGAAGATCTTACAAATATCCATTCATTGATAACTATTCATATTCGGTTGTTGAATATTCTTATCTTATTTTACTTAATTTATATTTTTGAATGAATTTAAAACACATTTATCATGTTTAATTAAATTGAAAGATTTATATGGTCAATTAAAAAGTGTAATAAAAAGCTTAACAAGAAATAGAACAGAACAAAATTGAACCAAAGTGAAACGATTAATTGTTGAAGACTCAATAATTCTGTCTGAAGGTGTTCATCATTATTTTCTTTCATTATAAATTCAATCTTGTTTTGATTTCACTTAAATAAAAATCAATAATTTATATCTTTCGTTTTTCAGAAAATAGAAAAGGTGTTAAATATTATTTGTTAATAATCGGACTATACGTAACATAAAACAAATCGATAAATCATTTTTGATCGTTCAATCTGAAGAAAGAACCATGAAAATAGTTATTTATTGCTTCAGTTACACAAATTATAACAGAATTATTTTACATTAAACATAAGCAATAATTATTAAGATTCCATAGTGAATGAAAGTCTTTTTTTTCCTAACTAACTTCTTTTCTGTAAGTCTAAAGATATTGCAACAAATGAGAAATACAGTGGACATAGTCAAATGATTTTTAACATTTTCCATGAAAACTTAAGAATTTCCAATAAAAAAATGATTAGGACATCTATGATAAAATGCTACAAATATATTAAAATAATTTATATAGATAGATGAATATAAGAGACTTTTGTGGTAAAAACACGTTTTTTGTACCAAAAAAAAAGAAGTATGTAGTGGAACATGATTCGAAACCATTTGTTCACGTTTTCAATGAAAAACGAGATGTTCCAATGCAGATCTTTGTAAATTCTTTTCTCATATCAATGTTTAAGTTATAATTTCGTTAGTAACTTGATTGCTTTACAAGATTCATTTCGAACATAATTAACTAACATGTATTCAATCTCGCTCATAATTCATATTAATAAGTTTAATTTCTTAATCTACAGACAACGAATAATAGAAGTTATTTATTGTTTCTCAGTAGTCGTTCTCTTTTACAAAGTAACTTGATATTAATTCTACAGATCTGTACTGTCAAATTTTACCGAAGGATAATGTATTGAACCGTTCTATCAAACAACGAAAATTATTCCATCATATTCAAAGCAAGCAAACCAGAGAATCGTTTCAAATCGACATGATAAATTCCGATTATCTGAAGTAAACGGGATTGAACTAAAATTTAATGACACTGTAATGTTGAGACGATTCATGCCATAAATCTGAATGAACTAGAATGATCTCAACTGATATCCAAAAATCCGCTTGAAAGAGTCTAAACCTAATGGAATCAACGCTGATTTTGAAATCAACGAGAACAGATACCACAGTTAGATCTTACCTGAAAAAGTCGAGTAGCGGTAACAACAATAAAATGAGATGATTTTTTGAACAATGTCTTTTATTATGCTTTAATAATCATTTACAATATTGTATATCTTCAATGAATAATGAATGTAGACAGTTGGTATCACGCAGATCGCTATTCAAAACAAAAGTCGATTTATCTCAATAATTGTTCGACTATTTTACATCGAACAATAGAGTTGGTTTTATAAAAATGATGAGAGTCTTGAGATAGTGATTCGAATTATTTCAATTAAGTTAATTCCAATCCTTTCAGCAATTTCAGTCGGAGAGGATTTGGAAAACTACTAGTATTTTTTGAGTAAGTTTTAAGTATTGTTCTTCAGACTCGAAAAGATTCGTCTTATTTTGCTCTATCTTCTCATGTGAAATGAGGCAAAGATGAATGAATTTGATCGATTTTCAATTGAAATAATGAAACATAAACAAAAACGAACAGTTTTTTTCGAGTGATTCTTCCTATCTTTGGATGAATATGTCATTTTTATGAAAAATCTTACGAAAAAAAAAAAAAAATTCTAAGATCTAGTCTTAAGAAATTAAATGAATATTAATCAAAGCACATTTGAGTTCAATATCACTAGATTTTATATTTAATGAAATTTAACTTGAAATTTTCTTTCAAACTCGATGAAAAATAAACTACTCTCTCTTGATAAAAAAAAATAATTTGAAATCATCTATCAATTCTCTGAAAATAGAAAATTCCGTTGTGTGGATGAGAATCAAATACCAATTGTATAATCAATAATTTATGTAGTTCTATAGTTTACGTCTCTCTTTCATTCTTACGTAGATTGGGAATGTACATTGAATAAATATTCTGAAATAAGTCAAAACAATTTCAATTCAACATTATACTGACAATCTTTAGTATGATGCTATTAAGAATGTTATAGATTCATTTATTTTACAATAAACCATGTTCTTCAGATCATTTTTCATGGCGATATTTCTTTTTTCTTTTTGACTTTATTACATCTAACTATACAATCATTTGAGATCATGAGTATTTGATATATATAGAAGTCATGGTTTATTAAATTCATGTAGAATTATTCTATAAATAGATATTTAAGATGAAAAATCTTATTGATAAATTTTATATATCAGAAGAAATTAGTGCTAATTATGTTCACGTTTTTTTTTGCTTCGTGAAATCGAATCTACTTTTTATTCGTATATTTGTAAATGCTTATTAGAAAATAGATTGATTTATATCAAAGAAAAACTATTAGATAATTACATTATTTTCTAAGATAATATTTATAGAAATATAATGAGATTTATCGATCTCTATCAAATATGATTCTATTTTATTTTCAACTTTGAATAAAAATTGTTCAAAATTCTCTGTATATTGTTGTATTTTTTCTTTTTTTGTCTTTGATTTTTCTTACAAAACGAAATTATTTATCTAGTTCATTACCCTATTACGAATGAATAATTTATTTTTAGGTGACAGATAAATTTTTATTTTTGTCTTTGTTCATAAAACTTTTGCAAATCTCAAGAATATAAAATATTCTTGAAATATCAATGACAAACGAAAGAAATTTTAAAAAATATTTTGCTTTTTATTTCTTGTTGAAAAGGTGTTGTTATTTTATTATTTCGATGATAGTTATTGCTTTAATTTTATTTCTGCTCATGTTATAGTATTTTATTTTTTAAAATATTTTCTAGAAAATGAAACTAATTGATTGATAAAATCCTAGCAAAACGAAAAACAAAAACAAAAATTGACGTTTTTCTATAAGTGAGGACAGTCGAACAAGTTTCAATCAACAGATATCTTTTATAGCAATTAAATATAAATGTGAATCTTTATACTTTCATCTTCAAGATAAATGTACATTTATTTATTTATTTATAAATTCAAAATATAATGATTTCGTAAATCGATGTGAAGCTAGCACGATAATTAGCTATCATGACGGATTTAGGTGAACTTGAAGTCTGTGACGCTGGGTATTGTGGGGGCGGAAGTTGGATGAGGGTGCTCAGCAATGTGTACACAAGCACCTGCACCCAGATTTCCGCCCTGAAAAGTCCAAGTATTCAGGATTTTAGGTTTATCTAAATCCGTCCTGGTAGCTATTCGTCGCGTTAACTTCACATCAATATTTCTTAATAGAAAATGTTCTTATCTCAAAAAATGAATTTTTAGAATTAGTAGCTTTTTTTTTCTACTCTGCCTTGAATACTTTCGTTTGATAGTGAACTATAATGAATAAGGACGGTAGGTCAGTCATGATCGGATGCCGGAACTGATTCAATATTTGATGGTTCCAAGTGTTTATTAATTAATAATAATGATGCCAAAAATGAATTTTGTGAAAAGATAGGCTTTTTCTAATTATTTATTTCTATTATACAAAAAAGTACCAATAAATTGAAATTAAATAAAAGAAAACGTAAAATTGTATGAGTAACGTAGTCTTGTTTTTCAATTTAAT